CTTCCCTCCCTGCGGACTGGCCTTCTTGTAGCTGGCTGACCCCACCAACCCTCGCGTGCAAGCGCAGGGGACGGTATAGGGGGGGGGGGGGGCGCCACCCGGCCACGCACTTGAAAAGGGAGGAAAAAGAGAGAAAGGGGGGAGTGAGGTAAAAAATAGCACTTTTGCTCGCGCTTTCAGACTAATAAAAGTAATGGCCGACCTGCATTCCCGGCGACGAGCTTCCGACCCCGCTTGTGTTACGCGGAAATAACGAATGACTTACAAATTCATTTTTACTCTGTATTCTTATTTTTTCGCTGTCTCACTCCAAGACGCCGTTGAAGGGAGGAAGAAAATCGCAAGGTGAAAAAAATAAAACAATAATGAAATTAATGACGACGGGAATCTGCTGAGAAGCAGTGGACACGACGTAAAGGCCACTGAGCCAGCTTCTTATCCCTTTCCTTTGTCGCTAACCCTTAGGCTCCCCCCCGCCCCCCACCGCCCGCTGACTCTCGCTCTCCCCCCTTGAAATCATCTGGCGTCTGTCTGGGGGCCATCCCCGCAAATATGTCCACCCTGGCGGACAGTTGCCTCCAATGGGTAGCTGCTCGTTGTCGGTCTCGGGCGCACTTGGAGGCAAATGTCGCCCTCCCTCCCCCCTTTGTTCTCCATCCTCTCTCCCCCACACACTGCTGCTGGTCGTTGTCCTGGTGCTGACGGCCCCTCGTCAGCACACACACACACGGTCCAGGGTCTGGCGGTGGGGCAGCAGCGCACATCGCAGTGGTATTGCCTCGGGGATGATTCATAGTGATGATGGGAAAAAATCTTTCTACATAGCAGGTCCGGTATGAAAAATGATATGCCCAGAGTCCTCCTGCGTGCTCTGGTATGAGATGTTACTCGGGGGCGTAATGAGAAAAACTCGGCGGCGCCCTCCCCGAGCCCTTCCTAACCTCGGCGGCCATGGCCCCGGGGGGTCAGTGCTACCAACCTTGGCTGTATCCGAAGGGGGCTCAGTCCTTCTTAACCATGCCTTCTCCCTGCTGTGCTGCCAACCGGCCTGCCCGCTCGCCACTGTAAAACTCTTAAAGGTTTCGGCCGGGCAGACCCGCGCGCCATTCTCGCCGCACAACAGCGCGTCCGTGGGCAAACGCGCGCGCAACTTTGTTTTCAACACAACAGGCCGCTCTTTTTCTCGGGGGGTTGTGTGTGGGCGCGGACGGGGGGTGAAAACGTCGAGAAGAATGAAGGAGGGGGAGGAAAAGAAAGTTTTCTGAAACGGCGCGGCGCGGGGCCCGCCGTCGGCGGTCCGGGCCGTTTTGGCGTCCGACCGTGGATGAATAAGGAAAATAAAAACTCTTAGCCCCTCGCGATGAGGAGGGTTGTGAGCGAAATGAGACACAGGGTGGGTCAGGGTGGTGGGGGAGACGTGGTCACTTAAGTCCGGGTACCTCCCCTCCCCCCCCCCCCCCCCCCCCCCCCCTGCCAAATCCTCCCCTTGCATGGTACCCATTCTTTCGTCCTCGAGATCCTCTTCCCGCTGCCTTTTTTGCGCTTTTTTGTCCTCGAGTCGAACCCATATCCTCCTCTCTCTCTGCCCCTCCGCCGACGGTCTCAGGGGGAGTGACCACGTCCCTGGCGGCACCTTATAGTCCGGATTGTGCGAGCAGGGAAGGGTATAGGAGAGAGGATGACTCTCACGTGCGTGTAAGAGAGACAGCGAAGGTGGACTAGCTATGGGTAGGGAGGGTTGGGTAGGAGGGTACCCGTCCCCGTTGCCATGGTTACGCCGCTGGTGACCATTGTGGAGGCGGCGATGCCCGGCCCCAAATGGCGCGGCAGAAGTGAAATCCCGAGGGATCGCTGTAATCCCGCAGCCCCCGACTATCTGTGTGTGTGTGTGGGGGGGGGGTAGAAGGCGTTACCGAGGAAGAGCGAGAGGGAGAGACATGGAGCGAGCGAGAGAGGGGCTAGGGGGAAAGAGAGGGTACGGGGAAGGAGGGGGTAGTTGAACCTCCCTTTCAGCAGCTTAGAGAGTGTGTTTGTTTCCTGCCCGGCTGGCCATCTAATCTGCCTGCAAACAGCTCTCCCGCTCGCGCGCCGCCAGCCTATAGAGAAGCCGGCGGGCCCTGGAATGGACCAAAGGCATTTCCTTTATCCCCTTGAAAATACCCATCATGCACTGCTGCGTGGGGTAAGAGTACCACGCCGTACCGCAGCCGCCGAGCCGCGGCGGAGGGGAAAGATAAGGAACAGGTCGATTTTATTATACGAGGCTCTTGTTGTTATCACAACGGAGAGAAAGGTACACACTAAAATCTTATGAACATTTTTGTTCATAGTTACTGATTTCTGTAAACATGCTCGGCTTACGCATTTTTTAATGCGCCAGTATGAAGAAATTTGTGCATTCTAGCGTATTAAAAAATGCGTAAGCCGAGCATGTTTACAGAAATCAGTAACTATGAACAAAAATGTTCATAAGATTTTAGTGTGTAGGGTAAAGTGAGTGCGAGGGAGATGGGTGCGCGACAGGTATAGGGACGGAAGGAGAGAGAGAGGCTCTTTTACCTTGCCTTACCGCCCCCCTCTGCTTGTATTTCCTGGAGCGCGGCTCTGCGACACCCGCGCTAGTAGGGGCCGGCCGGCCACGCCTCCGTCAGAGGGAAGACCATCACCCTCCCACTTGCCCCGCCCCACACCGCCCGGCTACGCCTCACCACTAAAACTGAGTGCTGCTTTTTATCCTGCAGATTATTTATTTGTACTGCAGCAGCGGCGCTGCGGCCAACACTGTGCAGCGCTCTCTCGCTGCCCAGCTGACCCGCGCCGGCCAGCCGCCGTGGTGGTGTATGGTGGGAGTGAGGGTAAACAAACAAACACACTTAAGGTGTAAATTTGGCACACACTCACAAACTGGTCAAAATAAAAATAAAAAGTTAAAATAGAAAAAAAAGGTTTCTGCGTTAAAAGTCTAAAATTAGATAGAGGCTGTACTCTAGTTTTTTAGTTGAAAAAGTTTCCAAAATTTTGAAGGTGTCTGTGTCTTTTCAGTCATGTCTCAGTTAAAGATCTCCCATATCGTCTATTCAAAAAGATTTAAAACGAACCAAAAAGTTGCAGAGTATTTTGCAAATTTCATTTTTAAAGTACTTCAGTTGTGTGAGAGTGCTTAGCCCGGTCGGGTCGGCTCGTGCCACCGGCTCCTCTCTGCCGCTCCTCGTTCTCGCCGATTTCTGCGCGCTGACTTCTCATTTGTTTGTGTTGCTCATCGAGTTGGGCGCCGCGCCCCAGCAGGGGGCTGTTTGCGAGCGCGACGCCTTGGCTTCTTGGTCTCTCTCTCTCCCCCCCCCCCTCTCGCTCGCTCGCTCTCTCTCGCTAGCTCGCTAGCTCGCTCGCTCTCTCTCTGTGCTCCTGGACCCCACCCCTGCACCCCTAGGAGGCTGTCGCACATCGCGGTACCGCTTTTGTTCTGCGTTGCTGGGACGTCCTCTCCTCAGGATCCATGTTTTCCTTCCTGCGCTGCAAGGGGTGGGCGAGACGACAGAGTGGCCTCCCCCTCACTTCACTTCGTCTCGGCTTTAACTTGGGTGAAGGGTTCAGAAAGCTTTTTCTTAATTCTATTACTCTGCATATTTTTGGGGTAGGAAATAAATTTCTGTAAAATTGTTTCCAAAATAAAAATTGATAAAATAATTTCTGAAGAAAATTTATAAATGTATCGCAAAAGAACAAAAGGTTTCATAAAAGTAAAACGTAATGAAAAATGACGCTTTGTAAATGCAGCAAAGAACCCTCATTTTTTTTTGACCATGGTCCCCTTTACGGACGACCCCGAGAGAGTAGGCAACCCAACCCGCCCACACGCATGTATGCGGTTCCAAAAGAGAACTTAGGCCCCTGTGTGGGCAACCAGGCCCCTGTGTGGGCAACCCTGTGTTTGGAGATTTTGGCGGAGCGCTCCTGTTGGCCAGAGGGAAGGGGTGCATATTCCTCTCGGCTGATGCTCATCGTCAGCCGCGTCTCCAGCGCGCGCTAAATAGACCGTGTTTGCAAGAAATGCCTCTCCCGATTCCCCAACTTCCGGCTACATCCCCATATGCCCGGCCCTCTCCCCTGTTTCCGTGTTCACACTTCTGCCAAGCACCCCCCTCCGCCTATCCCCCTGCTCCCTCTCTCGTTTCCCATTTGGAAAATCATCACCACTGTACTTAGTGCAGCCACATGGGAAGGGAGAGGGAACGCCCGCCGCGGGCCAAACAGTTTAAGCCTGGCGCGCGTTCACGCCTCTTTGATGCGTCCCGAGAGAGAGAGAACTCTTCTTGCTCGACTAGGCCTCATTCAACGGCCGAATAAGGTGGAGGGAGGCAGTCGTTCTTGCAGGAGAGCGCCGCTTTTGAAAGAGCGTGCTCTCTGAAATTCAAGTGTGTTTTGTGCTCACACTTCTACCACGAACCCCCCCCCCCGCCCCCCTACTCCCTCTTTTGTTTCTAATTTGGAAATTCGTCACCAGTCTGCCACACGATGTGGTCATCATGACGTGTCTGATCATACTAAGATTTTTTTCAAAAGATGGTCCAAATCCAAAATTGAGTGACGCGTGCCCTTCAGCCAAAAAACGCCCAACGATGGACCTACGGATCAAAGTGAAGTGAGGAATACTCCTTCCCCTTCGCCCCCCCCCCCCCTCAGCAGCCAAAAACCATAGGAAACCTAAGGGAAAGTAATTATGTTTAAGATTTGGTATACTGATTGCACATCCAATGAAAGGGACATACAGTATTGTGTTACTTAATTCTATGTCACAAAGTGCATTTTTATCTCTTGCCAATCTACTGCCACATTGTTAACTTTCTAAGCCAATATATGCATTCCGTTAGACAGAGACAGAATTCTGAAAACAAAAAGAAACAGTACTTCTAGTCACTTTCTACATCCTGAACATCCTCCTCCCCCTCCCCCATATCATATACTTTTGTTTGAATGACGTTGAGAGATGATTACTGAGTACCTCATTTATAAACATATTGTTATTCTTTGCACCAATCCAATGCATTTACATTTTTTTATTGTTCAGTACACATCTTTCAATAACTGGATGTGCATAATCATTGTTGAGAATACTGTTCGTACTATGGGTCAAAAACTGAAAAGAGGAATAAATTAAATTTATCTTCACTATAAACTATTTTTTTTTCTTCAAAACAACATTTTTTATATCATATGGTGTGGTTTAGTTATGGGTTCTGTTGTTTCCCTGGTCTAAATTGGTAGATACAAGTATATCAATATTGCTACCAGGCAAACATAGAAACCAATCTCCATCCAAAACAATCTGCAAACAAGCAAATTACATTAGTTTTGCAAATTATCTCTAATAATTTCTTGGTCGTCCAGTTCATTACCCACCTATCAATATGTCGAAGTCCATTTTCTTTGTCAAATTTACCCTTTAAGGTATACTGCCAAATTCCTTTTAACATGCTAATGGAATCAACTCTCGGATCTAGGCTATCAAGATCAAAATCAAAATTTTTGACATCATCAGGATGCATGAGCCTCTGAAGATCCCAGAATCCACATGTTTCGAACCTAATGTTTCGTAATCTTTCAGCGATAGGGACCAAAACAACTTCTGCGGCTGCTATTTTTCTATAAACCTTTATAAGCCTGAAACAAATCCATATCTGTACTATATTTTCAGTTAACATTTTGTTTGTTTGCGTCATTTTTTAAACGATGGGGTGCGATTGCGAAATGACCCCCTGGAAGGCCTTACCGAGGTTTCTTTCCAGCCAGTCGCAGCAGTGCGTCCATGATGAGGCCGAACATAAGGTGATAGACGAGGTAAATTACCGCGTACTGGATCCAGCATTTGCAATGGATGTGGACCGGGTATCTGACGGCGCTGCTAAAAGGCACGGTTCGACGCGTCATCTCGTTGTATATCTCGGTTATTTGCTCCTCCGTAACGGGGTGCACGTCCGAGAGGGCTGCGTTCACCACGGGCAACACGTCGCTGACAAATCATGAAAGGACCGGAGCTTACTGCCGTGAAGCAACTGAGTGGATTCAGCGGGTGAAAAGCGTGCCTTTGGGTAGGATCTGCATGTAGCCAACCCACATTACACCCCCTCGGACCCGAACTTATCCGACGTCCACGTACTCACCTCCCCAGTTGCTTGGTGGCCTTGGCCCACGCCGCCACGATGGTGGCCTTGGTGACGACGTCGACAGGCATCCAGTCGTAGCGGACCTCTGGCTTAGACAGCTTGCTCACACGCAAGACCCCCATGTTCACGCCGACCCATATGGTGGCCGGGCTGTTGACGTTATCCAGCCAGCCTGGGAGGGGCTCTTTGGCCGCGCCGATCACTGCGGGCGGGGGGAGGACAAGAAGGCTCACTAAGTCTCAGCCCGGAGTCAAAACATCGCGGCGGTCGGGCGCGGGCGGCTGCCTCACCTATTGCAGGCCTGACGATGACGATGGGAATGGTCGCTGCCGCTTCGGCCATCACTTGCTCGGCCAGCGCCTTGCTGAAGGTGTACGTGTTGGGTTGGTGGCCGAGCAACCTGTCAACACCCAACTGGTTCATACCTAGCTCTACTTGACGAAGACGACTGGTTTTCATGGGCCCAGAGCCCTTCACCGGGTAGGCACCGAATGCCAACATGGCGTCCAAAAGCGGGACAGTGGGAGCGAGATGCACGCTGCGGCGCTGCGGTCCAGTAAGCTCCCTCTCACTCCCATTCGCTCTTCGGACTCCACTCACCCAGAAAAACTAAAACGTAGCAACCGTCGTATGGTAGACCAGGAATGGCCATCAAAATATGGTTGCGGTAACGCACACAAGGTGGTGCCGACAACGAAACAGCAAGCCTAACCATTTCCATCGGTCTTGCAACCATAAAAGTGCTAGTACAACGACATTTTGTTTGGCCTGCAATAGGGTATCTGCTACTAGTTTCCATTTTTCTGGGTGCGTGCGTAGGCATGTGGTGGGCATGTCCGGTGCAGGGCTCTGCATGAGCCACTGGGGCATTGTCTTACTTTTGCCCCAGAGAGTTCATGGTGGCCGCCGTGTCGGCGTTCTCCGAGGCGGCTATCATCGTCCGCCAGTCCATCTGGGTCGGGTACAGCCGCTCCTGGACCCAGTGCTGGTCCATGTTCGTGTAGGCGGTCGAGACGTAGACCAGCGTCTGAAAAGCGACATGAACGTCAGAGCGGCGATGAGCCCTGCGCGGGCTCGGCGTGCTTAGCGAGGACGCGGCTGGACTGACCTGCAGCTGGCGCATCCCGGCGCAGAGGGCGGCCACCTCCCGGGCACCGCGCGTGTTGATCAGCACCGCCTTGCTCACGGGGTCGTCGAAGCGGACGGACGCGGCGCCGTGGAACACGATGAACACGCGGTCCTGGAGCATGGCGCGGTCCTCGGGGGACAGCCCGAGGCCCAGCTCCGCGCAGTCCCCGGCCACGGGCACCAGCTTGGAGATGGCCGTCGGCTGCTCCCGGCGTAGCTGGTCGAACAGCTGCACGCACGCACAAGGAGTCATTAGGGTCGCGTCCTGCGCCCGGCCGCTACACAACCTCGTCCAACAACGTACCGGCACGTTGACGATGCCGGCGACGCGCTCCTCAGGTGGCACTCCGCGCTTGGCCCGCAGCAGCAGGAACACGGTGCCGATGTCGGGGCAGCTGCGCAGAAGCTTCTCGAGGAGCACGCGGCCGAGGAAGCCCGAGCCCCCCGTGACGAGCACGTCCCTGCCCGCCAGCAGCTCCGCCACGCTCGGCACGCCGTCGTACGTCCCGGCCGCTACGCGCTCCTCGCGCCCGGCTTCCACACGCTGCAGCCGCGCGCGCAGCTCGCCGTGGAAGATATTCATCTGCAACCGGGCCAGTTTACATCAGACGTGCTCCACCCCATCAGGCCATCAGGCTATCCCCACAACAACGCACGCAGCTCGCAACCTGGGGGCTTGCGTTGAAAAGTTGATCTGAAAAAACACTGAGAAAAATACTCGTAAGTTTACGGGAAAATTTTCCATGATATGATTCCGTAAGGTAACAAATTGAAATTGTAAAATTACGATCACTTCCTAATGACTCGGAATTAATCGAGGAGCGAAAATAGGCCGTCGTAACTTAACAACATTATTTTGTAATTCCAAATTACAAGAAATGTCGTAACTTCCCAGCTGAAAAATCCATGTGCAAACCCACGTGGATATAGCGTTTTCCACGTGGTTCTTCCTGGATTTTACAAATTTCCACGTGTTTCCATCTGTATTTGCATGGGTTTTGACTCTTTTCATTTCACGTAGAAATCCTCATTTACATGTCGGTTCAGTATATTTCCACGTGGATTTTGTATTTCACACGTGGATAATCGAATCTCCATGTGGATTCCGTAATTTTCCACGTGTGTTTTATCTTTACCGCTTTATCGCGTGTGTTTTCTAGACACCACCTGTGTTTCTTATATTTCCACATGGGCTTTTGATTTTGCTACGTGGGTTTTCTATTACCAACCGTAACTTTAAATTGGGTTGGCCAACAAATAAATTGACTACACTTCTAGGAAAGATAGATTGCATAGAACACGGTCATGTTATAAAAACTGAACTTGTTATTTTGAGCCATTCTGGTATCTTCTAAACTAATGGTCGTTTTTAAAATCTGAGTCTATATTCGGCGTTTTCAGCCCAATTTCACTTGGGGGTGTTGCTTTAAGTCACGTCTTATGACACACTTAGGACTCAGGACTCTTGTCTTTAGATCTCCACATGGGCTTCAAAAGCCATGTGGTATTCGAGTACCCCACATGGAATTTTAGAAATTAACTATGTGGGTTTTTACAAAAACCCACATGGAAAGTAACTAATTACCACATGGAAAATTTTCCACGTGGGAACCTTATAAGAAACCCACGTGAAAAGTCTTCGGAAACCCATGTGGATTTGTACGTGTTTTTTTTTAGCTGGGTTTACGAGGAAGTTTTTCAAAGTCTAACCTCACCTGCTCGGGGCCAACGTCGACGTTTGAAAGTCTGTCTTTCCAAAAGTTATGTGTCGATGAACATAAAATGCGTTTAGAGTGGCGAAATGCCATCAAAACACAGAGTCAGAGCATACGACGCGACGCGAGAATAATACGCGTAATACTTTCCGAGTCGGTCGGTCGAGCCGCCGCCGTCACTTACATCGATATCCATGGCAGACCGGTGCGAGGCCCCCAGAGCCTCCGTGTTGCCCCGTGCTGAAGTAGGTGGACACTGGCACCTAATTCACCACGACCACGACCAAGGGGAACTGTTTAGCCGCCTAGGCTAATGTGATTCACTGTTGATGATTTCGTTAGCATTTCTTAAGCCTACCTTCAGATACTGAACCATGACCACCATTTATCCAAGCCATCTCTGAATGTAGGCTTCTTTTTTTTCGAGGAAGTCGGCTTGGATTTTTCACTAGCGAGGGCGCATTCTGTTAAGAAAAGTGAGGTCAGGAGGTCTGTCGCTCTCTCGGGAAGTCAGGCTTGCAGTCGATCGGTCGAGGTGTCGATGTGAGGCGGGATTACCCATTATCGATCCATCACCGTTTCCTGGTCATTGGTAACATCCATCAGCATCTTAGAATGTTGATTTGTTGATTTACAGCTAATAATTTGCGATTTGCGTGCACCCACACTGTAAAAAAAAATAGTGTAATACGGAACGATCTACGGCGTTACTGTAGATGCCGCTCTTATAGTCACTGCACCTAGGGTACGAAGCGCGGAGTATAGTGTCGCTGTAGAACCGGAAAGCCCAGGTTTTACACGGCACAGTGTACGAATACGGCTTCACTCCGTAGACAGATACAAGAAACGATTTTTCTGGGTGGGTTAGGTCAACGTATCACCTCACCTACCGGGTCAAATTTGCATGAATCAGCGAAGGGCATGCCGACAATGGCTTACAAAGCGACGTGTCCACGTGTCCACGTCAGCGGCCGAACAAGGGTAGGGGGGGCTTGCAGGCAGACGGTCTGGTGGAAGAACCCCCCCTGTTAGATTCCTGCGAAGTATTTAGATCGTTTGCAAGTACGAAGCATTTACTTTGCAACTAAAAAGTGACGCTTTGCAATTGCGAAGCGATCTTTGCAGCGTGTTTTATTGCTGTGCAATTGCAAAGCATCACTTTGTACTTGCAAAGTAAATGCTTCGTACTTACAAAGGCTCAAAATACTTTGCAGTTCTGCAAAGCGAATGCTTTGTAGGAATTTGACAGAGCCGGGGCTCTCTGAGATTCAACTGTTTGGAGTAAAAATGTTTTCTATGAATAAAGTCACCGCAAACTTATTTTAACAAATCTGTATCATATCTGTCGTGTTATGAACCTAGATTTTGATGCGATGCCTCCAGTAGTAGGGGGCTTGCGGATTAATTTTGTAATTAATTTTACAAGTTTGTCACTGGAGCCACAACTCTGCGGATCTGACGGCGGCAGCAGGGGCCTGGAATCACTCACAGGGCCCTCTTCTCTCCCCCTCCACCCGGTAATGAAGACCAGAGTGCGTTTGCCGCGCGGGGTGCGCGGCGCCGGCGGCCAAGTGTCGTCAGAAAGTAGTCTGAAATCCTAATTCGTCGCCGATGGTGCGCTTTTTTGTAATGGCGCTGGGGGAAACCCTCTCGCGGGGCTGATGAAAAAAATGGGACAACACTGTGTTAAGATAAATACGAAAAAAAGTGTCATTGCTCTTGGTCGCTTTGTGAGAAAAGCAAAGCAGTGGCGCCTCGGCTGGCCTCTCTGGTTTGTTTTACTACTGCGTGATGATGACCCCCCCGCGGACATTTTTATTTTATTCTTTCATGTCGAAATGAGATAGCCGCGCTATGTGTTTTTTTCTTCTTTGCAATGTCACCGCGGGTCCGCCATCTCCTCACCCGCGGTCCTTTGCTGTGGGCGGCCCGATGTGCTACTCAAATTATGCGACGCACAATATTGTTTCTGCGTGCGCCCATACTTTGTTGTGATAGCCAAGAATTCAAAAACAATATCGCCAAATTATTTGTTTTTGCTGCGTTGAAGATGTTTGGACTTTATCACAGGGATAGAGAGAAGCATGTAAGGTAGGGCATGTTTTCATGGTCATCATTTTCGCGATGTAACAGTATCTGTTTGTTGTGTAAGTGTGTGACAGTAGCGCGCGCGCGTGACACTGGCGGCGTGACAAAAGCCAAGTGTGACACGCACACAGCTGTTCGTATTGACACTGCTCTCAGCCGCATCTGCAGCTGTCCCCCGCGGTCCTTCAGGCCCCCCCCCCCCTGCTCTCCCCACTCCACTTTCCCCCCAACACGCTCTCCTCCTCTGGCAGTGGCCTCCGGGGAGCGCTTCCCCGGACAGGGGAGATCCCTCTCCTCGAGGAAGGGGGGAGTGGTGCGGCGCCGGTCATCCGGTCCTTTTCCCTCTCTTTCTCTCACCGTCTCTTATCGCGAACCTCAGAGAGGGAGAGAGAGAGAAAGAGAGGATGTGTATGGTTTTGCAGAGGGCGTTCTGGTAAAAGAGGCTGAGAGGGCCGAGGAGCCGGATCCGGATGCCTTCGCCGCTCGCCGCTCCTCCGCGCCGATTTCATTGAATTTCAGGGCAGCAATCCCCTGGCGAAAAGAGAAGAGGATGGATCGGCCAGTTAAATGGATCGACGGCGCCGAAAGATCAGAGGCGTAACCACGACAAAAAAGTTGGGGGGGCCGTAGTACGGGTTGCCTATCTACTAGGCGGACTCGAAGACCGTGTTATATAGAAGAATTAGGGTATTTTGAATTATAAAAAAAGGGAATCAAGTGATAAACATAAAAAACAATCTATTTGTCATAATAGTTCAAAAGATCATTCAACATCAAAGCAGTAAAATGAAAAATTAATTTAAACTTTTCCAAAACACTTCTCTCTGTCATCATTAGCGGAAGCAAATTCCCTAAGAATACCAGTCAAATCCAGAGCCATACAGTAGCGTCTCGACCGACAGTCGGCATCGGCCCGAACTGATCAATTTGGTTCTGCTTAGTCGGTCTGAAAGTTGGGGGGGCACGGCCCCCCTAACTTGAAAGTTGGGGGGGCCGCGGACCCCCCGGCCCCCCGGTGGTTACGCCATTGCGAAAGATTATCCTGCAATGGAAACCCGCCCTTTTTATCCGCAGATTTTACCACAAATGGCATCAACGTGTTACTTTATACGTTGTTTGCCATTCATCGTTATTGTGCGTACATTACAAATCAACCTTCTGCGCCGTGTGGTGGTGATGCTAAGGCCCTTGCGATAGGGATGGGACCCCCCCCCCCCTCCTCTCTCTCTCTCTCTCAGGCTCAGCGAATGGAATAAATTAGTCCCCTGTTAAATTAGGCAGTATCTTGCGTCCGGCCGGGCCGAACACTACAGCCCCGCCCCCTCCCCGCTCGCGCGCCGCCCGCGCCTCCCCAGCTGGCCGGCCTGCCTGGGGTTTAGCCAGCAAGCTGCTGGCAAATTAACTGCGTGACTTTGCTGCAAAACTGCGTCGAGACTCGCTCTCCCCCCGTGTGTCTCTCTCTCTGCCTCTTCCCCGCGCGCCCCCCCGAGCTCCCTTCCTCTCTCCCCGTATAGTCGCCGCAGACACAACTTTTTGGAGTGGTTTTCGCGTGCAGTGCACCTTGTAGAGGGAGTTTGCGAATCCTTTCCTTTGCCACCTGGCCCGCTGCCTCCCTTACCGCCTTCACCTTCCCTTCCCCTGCCGACCCTTGACCTCCGGTGTGTACCTCCTCCTCGACCTCACGGCTCCTCAGATCTTCCCCCCCCCCTTCCGCCACTGCCGCTTCTCTCTCTCTCTCTCTCTCTCTCTCCCTCTCTACCCCCGTCTCTCTCCCCGTCTCTCTCCCTTCTACCTTTTGAGCCCGTCCCGTCTCCCTTTCGCGCGCGCAGTCTCCGTTTTAATTTATTCTGCAGCATACAACACACTCCCCTCTTGTGCAAAGGACCATCACGAATGATGCTGCGCGAGCAGCGGGTTATGAAAATACCCCAAATCGGCGAAACAACTCAATAGGCGTGCCTATGCAAAATATAAACTCTTCTCAAAATTTTCCCTATCACTTGGTAAGATTTTTTTGCCATTTTTTTTTTTCGTAACGTGTGGTTTCCGTTCCGATTCTCCGCCCCCTTTAAATCGTTGCGTCACGTTTCGTCACGGTGCATTCGTGACGCACGTGGTAAAAGTCACACGATGCGGCGACCAGTATGCGCCGCGGTAAATGTCGCGGTCAGCTCGTTTAGCCGTCGGCTGTGCGGTTCGACTACGACCACCACCGCCGACGCACATTGTTGTTTTTTCTCTTTCATTTTTACTTTTTATTAATTTTTCATTCCAGGCTCGATTTATTTTGAGTTGGGGGGGGGGGGGTATGTGTGCATTATATTTGTTCCCTCTCATTTATTGCACCAGCCAGTGCAGTGTGTGTGTGTGTGTGTGTGTGTGTATGGTGGGCGACCGAACAGACCGGCCCATTGTGCTCCAGGGGTCATTACGATCGAAGGTGATTCGTTATTGAACGATAAACAAGTTGTACACGCCCTCGAACACTCGTTCTGTTGGCTGGCTCTCTTCATCTCGCGTATATAACGCGCTTGCACGGGTCGTCGTACCATTATTATTTATTTTGTTTTATTTTATTTTCTAGGTCGTCGCTCTGTTGTATTATACCACGGCGCGTGCGCGTGTGCTCGTCTATATAGTTCTCGCCGTCGATAGAGTCGTCAGAGCAGAAACTAAATTTAAATTCAATCCAATAATGGAAATAGTTCACTTGACATTTTTCTCTTCAAAAGATTTAGAACGCATAAAAATTGTTCTTGATCCTATCAAATCAAAATTTTAGAAATCAATGTTTTTACATTTGGAAAAGTAAGCACCATTGAAGTAAAAATGATACGTAATTTTTAAACAAAAATCGATAATTCCATGTTTCGAAAAATTCAGTTTTAATGCAGACATTTTTTTTCCAACAAACCCGTCCCCGTGCGAACTTGTCGAGGCGGTCAGCAGACGCAGCCATCTGCACACGCACAACAACAAGTCCGCGCCGCGCGTGCGTGCCGCGCCCCCCGCCGGGCCCCGTCAGACACCGAGCACGGCTTTTGGTGTTGTATTGAATCGCGGCGACGCGCATAACGTACGGCGCCGCGGACGCGTAAGATTGCCCTAACCCCCCGCACCGCGAGCGGCGCGCGGCTTAAATCTGGCCGCAGTAAATCTCCATGAAGGTCGCGTTAGGGGAGAGGGAGGCTGGCTGGAGCAGCA